GTCACAGCCCAGGGCAGTGAAGGAGCCATGATGATTAAATACCAGCAGTGGTCTCCTAGATGGGATCTTGGAACTGAAAAATAACATTAGGGGAAAACTGAGGAAACCTGAAATGGGTGGAGACTTTAGCTAATAATAATATCAGTGTTTATTTATAACAACTATACATTGTTTTAATACACCAACGAATGTAAAAATGTTAATAAGAAACTGGATAGAGATATGTGAATTCTCTGTATATCTTCCTTTTTTTCTATAAATCTAAAACTGTCTTTAAATAACGTTTACTAAAAAGAAAGCTTATGTTGAAAACAATTGGCTTTCAACTTCCTGTAATGTAAGGCAGAGTGGGATGAGTGCGGAGCTGAAGTCCCCAGGGAACTCACTCAACTTCAGGTTACTACTTCCCGCCAGTCTGAAAAGCCCAGTCCCCACATATCCCCCTCCCTAGGGGAAGACATTGGGAGGGTGGCAGGGTGTCAATCCGACCTCCTCATGGGCTGTTCCTGGCACAGTGTGCAACTCTGGCAGCTCTGGAATGGGTTCTTCACAGCCAGCCTTTCACACCATGCTCTACCCTTCCCCCCACCCATCCCCATTTGCTTGTCTGGTCTCCTTATACCCTTGGCTTGGGTCCCTGAACAATCCAGCTCTGACAGGAGTTAATCTAGGACAATACAGACTAACCACCCCACCTGAGCCACCCTAGTCCTCAGACGACCGTGAAGCAGCCTTGGACTCAGAGGCTAGAGGCTCGTGGAGAGAAAGGGGTGTGGAGAGCGCTTTTCACTTGATCCTCAGTTCTAAGCCGGTCAAGAAGCTGTTCTTTCTAGGGAGATTAGAGGGAGGGCCCCGGTGGCCGGCCTCCTAGAAAGCTAAGTCGAAAACCGCTGGGATTTACCGAAATTGGTATTGGTAGAAAGTCTGAGCTGGAAGACTAGGGTGGCTACATAAAGCTTTGAGGATGGGGGGTGCAGCTGTAGTGTGGGTCCCAAGCTCAAGAATATCCAGAAAAGCTGAAGAACCTCCACGTTTCTGTAGCAAGGGAAGCACTTGGACTTTACTGGGGGCGGTACAGCCTACCGGACCGGTTTTTGGATAAGGTGGCTGTGTGCGCCCTGGTTAAGCTGAGGGTCAGCGTGAGAACGGGGCTCTTTGGAGAGCAGGGAGGGGACGGCCAGGATCTCATGGCCTACTGAAAGGTGCCATGGGGGAGGGATAAAACAGCATGGGACTGGTGTCATCTCTTCAAACAGGTGACAAAAGCCTGCGGTGTGGTGTCAGACCCAATCAGCGGATCTATGCGCTGGCCGCGCCCTGAGCCTCTCCAGTTTTACGCACGGGTTTAGCTCACCTTCTGACCGAGGGAGGAAGGCAGGAGGGATCCAGCCACCTCTACTGTCGACAGGACTTCTTCCACCGCCACGAACCCTTATACTAGGGGGCTCCCAAGGACAGAAGGAGCCAGAGGTCAAGGCTCTACATCTGGGGGTGAGGGACAGGCTGGAACGGCCATGTCTGGCCCAGGAGAGGGGCGCACAGACTGGCTGGCGTATGGCAAGACCTTTGAGTTAATGTATAATTGTGAGCAGATGGCGGGGATTGGCAGCAGCCTGGGGCCTGGGCCCAGCTAATGAGGGACAATTAGCCCCAAACCCAGTGGGGGCAGTTGAGAGAGTCAGACAGTAAAGGTAGATATTTGCTTCTCAAACAGTCGGGCGCGCTGGGCAGAAGGCTGAGTGGCTGAGCCTTTGGGCTCGCTAGGCCCCCTGCCAGGGCCCTCTCCCCTTTTTCCCTCCCCCCCTCACCTCTGGGTCGAAAGCTTCTGTTTGATCAGACCCAAGAGCCCCGTTGTAAAGGAGGAGGGAGAGGATAGTTTATGGGGGAAGTCTCTGCCACCACCATCTGCCAGGGCTTGTCCTTTCTCCTCCTGACACCCCTCTCTCTAACCTCATGCAGCTGTCTCTAGGATTAGCTAGTCAGAACTTAAGCCTTGAGTCTCCAGATGCAGGGAGCAGATCCAGGAAAGAGGGATGAGGCAGGAAAGGGGCAGTAAGAGCAGAGCTGCCCCGTCCCTTCCTGGGGGCTTCTTTTCACTAGGCACTGCCAAGTGGCGTGACCAGCAGTCCTTAGAATGGGACTGGGAGAGGAATAGGCTCTACTTGCACCAGACATATGCTGTCCTGCCCACAGTGCTGAAACCACACACTGCAGTCTCCCCTGTACTCCAGGGTTCTGGGCCAGCCTGGGGAGGCTGGATGAGGTGGAAGAGGAAGGGAATATGTATCAGGGTAAGGTAGAAAACCAACTTCTGATTACAGTTCGTCTCTCAGTACAAGAGTTTTCAACCTCTCAATGCCTTATCTCCCCCCAAACGCAAAGCATTTATTACTGAGATCCACTCTTTCCTCCTCTGACTTCTGGACTAGTCTTATTGTTCTACACCGTGCCTCTCATGCCTAACTTCTGAGACAGACTCACAGAATCTGATATATGTAATGGACCCAAAAGGTTTTTTGTTTTGTTTTGTTTTTACATTGGCTTCTTCCCATCCTGTAGAGAATGCCCCAAGACTGTGATGGCAACAAAACTTCCAAGTATTAGAGAACACATTCACTCCCAGAAACCATTCTTCAGGAAAAAAAAAACCTATCCAGCCACTGATGGCTTTACCCAATGACCCAGAAAAGAGTACCTTTTGGGGCAACAACAGTGTCTTTGATGACCTAGATGGTGATCTAAAAACACCACACCTCTAGTAGAAAGGAGCCTGATAACATCTAGAGATGAAAGAAGGAAAGCCAGATTGCACACTTCCTCACAAACACCCCCACATGCATCTCTAACTTCCCTCTGAGGCTCATTCCCACCATCACCATCATTAATGTCATGAAGTCCAGGATACCCATTTCCAGCCAAGAACTCAGCCTGATGTCTTCATTGGTCAAAAAGTCAATCAATCATTGAGGCTGCTCTGGATAGAACTGGTGAAATGTGACATGCTCACTGCTCACCCTCTTCTCTGAACTTTAGGAACCAACTCAGAGTTTAGGAACCATGCTATATGTTTTTTATCTTTTTCAGTAATACAGATGATTCAGGAGTTGATTTCAAAGCTCAGGTATGTGTTATGCCTGGAAAGTTAGTCAATGGTTCTGGAAGCTCCCTTTGTGTTTCTGTGCACTGAAAACCTTAGCTACATAGTCTGCAGTTCTCAGTCCCCCATCTCTTTGTACATGTTAGGAATTCTGGCCCCATGTGAGCATACTCTGGGTCCAGGAAACCTGCATGAAAATGGCTCTGAACTTGTTTCAGGTTAGGTGGATCCAAGGTGGGCACTGAAAACTCTCCACAGGAGACAATGGGTCATTGCCTCTGATTTGCCTGCCTCAGGGCCAGTGTCAGTCAGCCCCATGCACACCTCCCTCCTCCTTTCTTCTCTGCCCATGGCCTATGACATCACCGGCTGTTCCCAGAAGGCTGCCCTCTGCTCCTGAGCACAGGCTCTCTGTAGCTCTGGACCCCCTGGCAGGACTGAAGCAGGAGGAAGGTGAAGCCTGCTACCAGAACCAGACCACCAGCACCCTTGGAATCCACAGGAGTTTCAGGACCCCAAAACAGAAGACTGAGACCTTCTCCTGCAGCTCACAGCTCCTTCATTTCCTCCAGCCAGGTAGCTACCTGCAAGTTCATTGTCTACTCTGCCTCCCATGCAGTCTCCATATCTTTGTGTGGCCAAACCCAACTCTCTTTGTGTCTTTGCAGCTACCCACTATCCTTCCCCTTCAACCTCTAACCTGCTTTCTCATCTTGTGAGTACATTGTTTTCTCAGACAAGTTAATGTCAATGATTAGAATGTGTGGGAGACTATTGGGAAAGGGGGTTCTGTTTGTAAGTTGGGGCATGATTCTTTTTGGTTTGGAGATTATCTAGGTTTGACTATTGAACCTGTGTTCCCAATATTCCTCTGAGTTCTTGGTCATACAGGAGGGCAGAGTCCTATCAAGGATTCAAAGTTTATCTGATATTCTGAGCCCCTACCTCCTTGTGCCTAGCATAGCTGTTTAGGTTCCCAGATGTATTCTCCTTTCTCCATTGCTTTGATGATAATTACACAAACACGAAGCAAAGTGGGGACAGAAAGATGGTTCCAGGAACAGGAACCAGAAATTCTGATGGCTAGTGAAGAACTGGTTTCTGAACTTGAGTTTTACTATCTGGGTGGCTCTTGACTTATAGGAACCCTAATCTGGACCTCAGCTTTCTTTGAAAAAAAAAAAAAACCTTTGCTTTCCTTCATAGGTTTCCAGAACGATGAGGGATTGAAGGGAAATATAACTCTATTTGCCTAGAAATGAATACATGAAAGCCACTTTACCTACTGAATTTAAATAGGAGATGCTGGATTTCAGGCTTGTTGTAATTCGTTGCTGGTTCACCAATGCTGGTTGTACTATAATCTCTTAGTGAACAAAGACCTGGTCTCTCTTCTTTTTTTCTGCTTTCCTCCTAAACAGCCACTGGTGTGTTCATGCCTAGAACCTTGTCGAGAAGCAGGTGAGTTAACTCAGCCAAAAGGACATGGTTATGATAGGAAAGCTCCATGGAAAGACTCTTTTGTGGAGCCACAGCCCTGCCAAGATTCCAGGCACAAATGAGGCAGCCTCAACTCCCATTAACTGCTAAGGAGAGCAGGAATGGCATAGTGGCCTGTGATCAGAGACTCTTTTGTGCTTAATATGGCTTTGGCATTACCCAATAGACAGCCCTTTTGAGGACTCCAGAGTCTCTGGCTCAAATGTGAATTTTAATGTTCTCTTTTTAGAAACATCCACCTTCTCTCACAAGCAATTTCTCCTATGACCATTTCAAGGAAGAGACCTCAACCAAATAACCTCCTATTGTTATAGATCCTGCCTGCAAGCCAGGAATTCTTTAAAGGAACTTGCATTCCTAATCTTCCCCAGACTCCTGTCCTTGCCTGAGGCCAGCTTGGAGCATGCAGCAGAATGGTGAGAGGTCTAAGAGAGATGGGAAGAATGGGGATAGGTTCGAAGTCAGGGGAGTTGCTTCAACCAACACAATGTCACATCCCCTTGTCAGTGATCTGGGAGAAACTCTGCTAGTCCCTGCCTCTCTGTTATACCCTGTTTCTCTTAGATCAAGAGAGTAAGCACCTATGTCCAAGGTGCACAGACTCCATGAGTCAGCTCCCAAAGAAAGTGGCATGTTGTGAAGATTCGGGCTGAGAGGCAGTCCCTTAGAGAAGGACTTAGCCTATGGTGACAAACCAGATGGGAGGTCTGAGTGAACTTCTGCAAAAGTGGTTGGGGGTTAGAGAGAGAGGCAGTGTGTAGATGCTTACTTCTCATGCCCAGGGATCAGCAGTGTCAATCAACTGGGGGGGATCTTTGTGAATGGTCGGCCCCTACCTCTGGACACCAGGCAGCAGATTGTGCAGCTGGCAATGAGCGGAATGCGACCCTGTGACATCTCACGAAGCCTTAAGGTAGTGCCAAGACCTTTGTCCAATAATGGGAACGAGAAGCAGAGAGAGGGCTGGGAATGTGGCTTAGTGGTAGACTGCTTACCTAGCGTGCATGAAGCCCTGGGTTCGATTCCTCAGTACCACATAAACAGAAAAGGTCAGAAGTGGCACCATGGCTCAAGTGGTAGAGCACTAGCCTTGAGCAAAAGAAGCTCAGGGACAGTGCCCAGGCCCTGAGTTCAAGCTCCAGGACTGGAAGAAGAAGGGGGAGGAGGAGAGGAGGAGGAGGAGGAGGAGGAGGAGAAGAAGAAGAAGAAGAAGAAGAAGAAGAAGAAGAAGAAGAGCAGAAAGAAGTTTAAGACCCTGAGGGCCTTTGAGGCTTGGGCTACTTCCTAGAAGACCCTTTTGGAGGTTGGGAAAGGGATTTTTATGTTTTGAAAGGTGAGGCTAAACTCTCAATTCCATACCTTCATTTAATATGTCCTGCTTTGCCTTTTCCCAGGAACATTAATCCTCCTACCCATCATGTCTTACCTGTCCTTGCTTCTCACCTGGCTCAGGTATCTAATGGCTGTGTGAGCAAGATCCTAGGGCGTTACTACCGCACAGGTGCCTTGGAACCCAAGAGTATTGGGGGAAGCAAGCCACGCCTGGCCACACCTCCCGTGGTGGCTCGGATTGCTCAGCTGAAGAACGCATGTCCAGCCCTGTTTGCCTGGGAGATCCAACATCAGCTTTGTGTCGAAGGGTTCTGTACTCAAGACAAGATGCCCAGTGTAAGTGAGGCTTGCAAACAGGCTGTATGCAAAGAATAAGACCCTTTTCTTTCTTTACTTTGGCATTGTAAAGCCTGCCATTCTAGGCTGGGGATTGGAGCCCCTGTGATCTTTCTGCTGACAAGTGGTGGTGCTAAGAGAAGTGAGGGGGAAAAAAAGCAGGGGAGGGGGATGGCATTGGGGAGTGTGTGTGCTGCAGAATCGCTTCAGAATGCAATCCTGAGTCTGTAACACCATCTCCCCACTCATCACCCAACTCCCCCCAGGTCTCCTCCATCAATCGAGTTTTGCGGGAACTACAGGAAAACCAGAGACTGCATTGGGCACAGCTCAGCTCATCAGGTGGGTCTTGGAGTTATGCCTAGGGAAATACAAAGACAAATTTTCCGCATGTTATAGATCTCAATGCACTTTTCGTTCTTGTTTTGGATCACCCTCCCAAAAGCCCTAGAAAAAGGGCCTGACACAATCTTATTCTCTCCTGGCAGAAGAAAATGTAGGTTCAGGAAGTCATGTGACCTACTCAAGATCATTAGCTAACTGGCAGGTCTTAAAAGCAGAACCTAGGATCCCTAGCTTCTTGGTTCACAGTATCTGCTGAGAAAAAGGCAGGAGTGGTCTTCCCTCTCCCTCATGAGCATCTTTTATGTACTATGTATCATGTAAAGTTGGACCATCCCTACTGCTGCTCTCTGCAAATACTACTGTGACACTGAGCCCACTTTCTGTCAAGTACCCTTGGAGCCAGCACTGCATGACTAAATGCAGATCACCTTGGCTCCTACACTCGCACTGTTGCTCAGTCACAGCCCCAGGGATATAGGGTCCCCATCTGACCAGAAGAATCACCATCACAAACCACCACAAGATATTGTGCTCCTTTGCAGCTGTTTTGGCTCCAGCTCTTCCCATTCTTCATAGTGGTGATGCTCCCAGAGGTCCTCACCCAGGAACTAGCCACAGGAATCGGACTATCTTCTCTCCAGGCCAAGCTGAGGCCCTGGAGAAAGGTGCTGGACTGGGCTGGGAGGCAAGATGGAGTTTTAAAGGTGGGGAATAGTGCCTTTTGGGGAGACTCATGTCTTGCCTTTCCTCTATGCCCTCTGAGTCTCTGTTTCTGCAGAGTTCCAGCGTGGGCAATATCCTGATTCAGTGGCCCGTGGAAAGCTGGCTGCAGCTACCTGTCTGCCCGAGGACACAGTGAGGGTGAGTAAGCTCTGTGACTTTGTGAGCGTTAAATACTAGGAGAAAGAATCCTACCAGCCATGGCTGTGAATTCTGTAAAGTTAAACATGGGGATAAGAATGTGGAAACAAACCTATTTAGAGCAAAAATCAGGGGTGAAGCCTTCCGTGTTAATCCCTTTGGCTGATGACTTGTTTCTCTTGAGGTGGGGAAAGGGAGGAGGGAGCAAAAGTCAGAGCAGGGAGAGGTCCAAGGAAGGCTCTACATTCTGACTCCAGGCCAGGGACTCATGGTGAGAGCAGCAGATGCCTAGTGGCCAAATATATGGTCCCAATTCTCCCTCAGGTCTGGTTTTCCAACAGAAGAGCCAAATGGCGTCGGCAAGAGAAACTGAAGTGGGAAATGCAGCTTCCAGGTGATTTCTTTCTTTTTTTTTTTCCAGGTGCTTTCTATGCACACAACCCACAAATTCAGACACCTATCCATATAGACATAAACATCCCCACCCATCTACCCACCACACACCCTCTATCCATTCATTTATCTGTCCTCCATCTATCTTCATACATACATACACATCCATCCATCTATCCATCCACAACACACCCCTTGCATATTCATCCTTCCATTTATGTATCTCCATCAATTGATGCACATACCCACACATCCAACCCATTTATCCATCTGTCCATCCATCTACCTAATATTTACACAGCAACTATGTGCCAGGCCCTGTGCTAGGGGCTGGACATACACTGTCCCTGCTTTTAAGGGCCATACTGTCTTTAGGGCTATGCTTGGGATTTAATCCTTTCTAGTTTTGCAAGGCCTTGCCTTATAGAGAAAGGAAGTCTAGAATTATAACATTCATCTGCTCCCACCTCTGCAAGAAGTTGCTGACTTCCTGGGAAGTCCACTGTGTCTCATCACTGTGCCTGTCTCCAAATTTTCCCTTTCCCAGCCTCAATCCCTCCCTCTCAAGGAATGCACTCTTTCCTTGTAGGTGTTTCTCAGGATCTGACAGTACCAAGAGCTTCTCCAGGGATTATCTCTGCTCAGGTACTTGGAAGAAGAGGCAAATTTGTAAACTGGGACTCCATTTCTGGAGATGGCCTGAGAGCTCATGTCTATGACTCTCTAGAGAGTTCACAGTACACATTTCTAGCACATGCCAACCTCTAGTCTATTTTGTGAATGGTAGCCTCTGGAGTACAGAACACAACCCGGGGAATAAGTGCTGGGTCCCAAGCCTTCTAAACAGGAAGCCTCACTGGCACTGAGGGTCTCTTCTTGTCATTAAAAAAAAGTTATCATAAAGGTGGTGTACAGAGGGGTCAGCATTTCTTAAGTCAGGTATTGAGTGCTTTTCTCCTTGGACAATGCCATTCTTTCATCTTGCTTTTTCTAGCAGGACCTTGGCAGTATATCCACAGCTTCCCTGCCAGCCTTGGAACCAGTGCGTCCTTCCTGTTACCAGCTGTGCTGGGGGACTGCACAGGAGAGGTATCCTATTGACACTCACCATCCAGCCTGTCTCCAGCCCTGCTGGGGTAAGAATCCAGATAAGACCTCAGTCCTGCTGGGTGGGGCGAGGAATGATTGACATGGAAGGTCAAGGTCACTACAGGAATTTCCATGTAGCTTTTGTCATTCCTTACATGGCTTATAAAGTTGGGACACTTGCATCTCCTGGTCTTTAGCATCACTGACAGCCAAGCAGGTAAGGTTGGAGGTGTAGGATTTGGATTTGAGTTCAAATATCCTAATCAATGCTCTGGACTGCTCCTTATCTGATGACTTTGAGAGGTAGGGTGGAAGGACTAAGCTCAAGTTCTCCTCTTTGTCCTGATGGCTGTTTGACAACACAGCCAAGTTCCTTGGATTCAAAACTTCTTTTGCTTTCATTGTCCTTCCTTCAAATGCCCCTGGGGCCAGTTTTGGTACCGTTCAGGTTCTGCTCTGACTAGCTCTCCACTGCTGTAAGAGCTGGAATGAGATGAAAGGCCCAGGAGGTAGAGATGATGAGTAGGATCTAATGCCACCTGTCCATTGTCCAACTTGCTCACACAGATGGCTGCTCCTTCCTCCTTCCCATGGCCACATGTGTGGACTTTGCCTGGCCCTGCTTTGCTGCCCCTCCTATGCATCAACCAATTGAAAGATCTGGAGAAGCAACACCTACCCCTTATTCACATTGGCCATAAGAGGCCTCCACTCAGCAATAATAAAAATATTCTGAATTTGCAGTAGTATTTGTTCTTATGCTCTTCCTCTGAGGACCCATATGCCCACCTTGATATGGAACCATTATAAACAGGGACCTACTATCTCTCTTTCCCTTCTCTCCTTTCTCTCTCTCTCTCCCTTCTCTCCTCTCTCTCTCTCTCTCTCCCTTCTCTCCTCTCTCTCTCTTCTCTCTCTCCTCTCTCTAACTACAAAACTATATCCACACTTAAGAAAATTTACTATAATTAACTATACTTAGTCTAAAAAACAGACATAAATTCTCAAATTGCATATGAATTTTTATCATAGCAACAGAGTGGAAATAAAGTTTTCATACTCTGCTTTTCCATTTATACATGCTCCAGGGGCATGACTCTTGGTGGGAAGTTCCTACACTTTTCAAGTCTATCCCTCCACCCTTCTAGGTGGTTTAGGAAGGTGGGGAAAGGGAGGAAAACAGGGGAAAGAAAATGAAGAAGGGGATAGTTGGAAAGCAGGATGGGTTTATATCTCCAAATATCGTATTTTCTCCCCCTACCTTCTTCCTTCCCCTCTCCTCCCCTCTGTTCTTCCTTCCTTTCCTCCCCATCTCTCTTCCTTCCTCTCCCCCCCCACCATTCTTAATATGTGACACAAACTAGTCTCTAAATCCTCCCACCTTAGTCTTCCAATTGCTGGGATAACACACCTCTATACCTGGAAAGTTCTTCCTTGTTTGAAGGGTAGAGGATGGATAATGGAGCCAGATCTGGATCCAGAAATTGTTATTCAATATGTCATTTTTTTATTATCAAATACTCAACTGCACTATTCAGAAACTAGTGACCAAATTTCCTGTGGCTGTCTAAATGTAGTTTACATTAAATAAAATGAATAGACCCTGGTACCTGTGATTCAAGCCTATGTAATCCCAGCTTCTTGGGAGGCTAAAAGTGAGAAGATTGTGGTTCAATGCAGAAAAAGTCCTCACTCAAGACTCTCCTTGGAGAGAAGCTGGAAGCAGTGATGTACCATGGTCCCAGGATCAACCAGAGGCCTAAATTAAGGGGATTGTGGTTCTGGGTTAGGCCGATGTGGAAATGAGATCTTGTCCTTAAAAGGACTAATTAAAAACAGAGTGGGAAAAGAGCTGGATACTGGTAGCTCACACCTGAAATCCTAGCTACTCAGGAGGCTGAGATCTGAGGATCACAGTTTAAAGCCAGCCCAGGGAGGAAAGTCTGTGAGACTCTGATTTTTCGTCAGTTCTGGGCTTGAACTCAGGGCCTGAGCTTTTCTGCTTAAGGCTAGTGTACTTACCACTTTGAGCCACAACTCTATCTCTGCTTTTCTATTTTTCTGGGAGTTAACAGGGGGTAAAAATCTCCTGAGTAGCTAGGAATACAGGTGTGAGCCACCTTTGCCTGGCTCTTATCTCCACTAAACTACCAGAAAAGCCAGAAAGTATAGCTATAGCTCAAATGGTATAGCACTAATCTTGAAAAGAAGCTCAGGGAAGGTGACCAGGCCTTGAATTCAAGCCCAAGGATTGGCACTATAACAAACAAACAGGGTAAGAAGCATAACTTGGTGCTATCAAGCCAGCCTATCAAGTGCAAGGTCCCTGAGTTCAAACCCCAATACCCACATAATAAATAAATAAATAAACAAATTTTCAGTTTCTTGCTCATACTAACTACATTCTAAATGTCATGTATGGCTACTGTGTTCATCAGAAAAAAGTATACAGTATTTCCATAAGCATAAAAAAGTTTTGCGGGCTAGATCAGCTCTAGATACAATTTGAAGGGTTAACAGAGCACACTCTTCCCTCTTCCCAGGCGTCTCTACTTTCAAGCTTGAGGCTCTGCTGGACAAAACTGTTCAGGGAAATAGAAAGCCTTTATAAGATGAAAATCTGCACAGCACAGCCTTAGAACAAACTATTCACTTCAGTGACAGCACTGATGTCAACAATGGAAGATGCTGTCACAGCTGAAGCTCCATGGCTGAGTACATTCAAGCAGGGGATAGAGGGCCAGTTGTAGAGAACTGAGAATTAATACAGTGCATATGCACGTGCGCTTGCATGCACACAGAAATCCCTGTGCATACATAAACATGCCCATGTGTCCAAGTGTAAGCATGCATTTATGGAATGCTGAGAATTCTGCTTTAAGTCCCTTGCAAGGTCTTATCTCTAGAGATACGGCCTGCTTTTGGCAGGGTCTTGCTATGTTGCTAAGAATGGCCTTGAAACCAATATACAAGGACACGTGCACCTCCATGTTTATTGCAGCACTGTTCGCAATAGCTAGGATATGGAAACAACCTAGATGCCCCACCACAGATGAATGGATCCAAAAATTGTGGTATCTATACACAATGGAATATTATGCAGCCATTAGAAATAACAAAATAATGGCATTTGCAGGGAAATGGATGGAGCTAGAAGGAATCACGTTGAGCGAGGTAAGCCAAGAATGAAGAGACAAACAGTACATGGTCTCCCTGATAAGTGGATGCTAAATCCAAAATGTTAGGTGATATGACAAAACTAACAGGACTTAAGAAACAAAGAACTCCCACTCATCTGGTTGAACCACTACCAAATATCCCCATGCTGCTGATCACATATATGGTATATAACATGTGAGCACCGTTATATATTACAGACTGTGATAGACAATTTGCTCCAGGAACGTTAGAATGAACTTGTGACTTTAAATGAGCATCATTATTCCACAATACTGTGAATTTCCGGAAATTATGTAATCAATCACAATAAAAAAAAAAAAAGAACCTCGGGAAAGGGAGGGAGGGAGGGGATGGTAGGGGGAAAACAATGGAGGGGGTAACAATGTTCAAGAGGAAGTGTACTCATTACCTTACTCATGTAACTGTAACCCTCTGTATAGTATCTTTACAATAAAAAAATTAAAAAAAAAAAGAATGGCCTTGAACTCCCTGGCTCTGTGATCTACCTGCCTCAGGCTCCCAGCATTCTTGGCATTGGCCCTGAATGCTCTAGAGGAAAGATGTCCCAATCTAGTACTTTTAGTCTTTATTGATTAAGTAAAAGAAATTAAATTACCTGTGTGCCAGTATTGGGGCTTGAATTCAGGACCTGGGCACGGTCCATTAGCTTTTTCACTTGAGGCTGCCACACTACCACTTGAGCCACAGTACTTCTTCTGGCTTTTTTGGTGGTTAACAGGAGATAAGAATCTCACAGATTTTCCTGTCCAGGCTGGCTTCAAAATTTGATCCTCATATGTCAGCCTCCTGAGTAGCTAAGGTTACAGGCACAAGACACTAGAGCCTGGCAAGATATGAAATTCTATTGTATCTCTTAAGGAGAAATACAGTTACAGAAACCTAAGGTCATATTCCTCTACACACTTAATCTCTTTGATATCCTTGTTTTAGCCTTCTTTTCTCAGTGGATTTAAAAATTAGGCATTTTGCTGGGCACTGGTAGCTCACGCCTATACTGTAATACTAGCTACTCCGGAGGCTAAGATCTAGGGACCACAGTTTAAAGCCAGTCTGTGAGACTCATCTCCAATTACCCATCAGAAAGCTAGAAGTGTCACTGTGGCTCCCAGTGATAGAGAAGGGCCTTGAGCAAAATTGCCTAGGCCCTGAGGTTAAGCCCCATGACTGAAAGAGAGAAAAAAAGGCATTTGTTACAGTTTTCCCAAAGTAAAGGATATCACTGCTGGTATTTAAAAACACTTTTAGGAGGCATTGGCTGCTGTTTTAAATAGTGAGTTTGAAATGATTAAGTTATTTGGTTTTTCAACTCCCTTTCTGATTGCATCAGGAAAAAGTTTCACTTTGGTTCCAATTTTTAACACTTCCCAATCAACTTTCCTTGACGCAGGGAAAGGGAGACTCAGACCGAGCCTTGAGCAGGGAGGAGATATCTAAACAAGAACTTGATAATATTTATTTTATATTTTATTTTCTACTTCTGGCCAGTAGTTTTTCTACTTTATAACAGTAATAAAAGCTGGATGGCTCACACCGTAATCCTAGCTACTCAGGAGGCTGGGATCTGAGGACCGTGGTTCAAAACCAACCCAGGCAGGAAAGTCTATGAGACTCTTATCTCCAATTAACCACCACAAGTGATAGAGCACTCACCTTGAGCTGAAGAGCTCAGGGACAGTGCCCAGGCCCAGAGTTCAAGCCTCAAGATGGAGAAAAAATAGTAATAAAATATACTTTTCTAAATGCATGTATTTAAGAACCTTATCCAGGTGCTCATGGCTAATGCCTGGCATCCTAGCTACTGAAGAGGCTCAGATCTGAGGACTACAGTTCAAAGCCAGCCAGGGAAGAAAAATCCATGAAATTTTATGTCTAATTAGCCAACAGAAAGCCAGAAGTGGAAGTGTGGTTCAAGTGGCAGGGTACCAGCCTTGAGTGAAAAAGCCCTGAGTTCAAGTCACAGGATGGTCACATGCACACACACACAAACACAAGTCTTCTATCAATAAAGACATTAATACAGCAAGTAGCAGGTAGATAAAGGTCAAAGTCATGAAGACAGTGAAGGGAGGAGAGACATTTTTGAAAATGCTGTTTGATGAAAGGAATAATGTACACCTGAGTCAGAAGATTTGAATCAGAGGCCTAGCTCTCTAATGATGAGTTATGGGACCTTGGGCAAAGTATTCCATCTCCCTGTAAAAAGTGAAAAATGGTGGATGAAAATATTATTCCACCTACTTCACTGAATCAAAGTTAATCAGGGCAGGGAAGTTTGGTGAACTATATCCTAAGGAAAGGGTGAGCTACACAGACATTAGATGTCATTACCATTGCCCTGTGGTAATAAGATTAGCACTGTTTCATTTGTTCTTAATCAAAAGGACATGCTAAGTCATGTCTGGATTCTGATATCCATTAGGACAAATCCCTCGGAGAAGTCCAGGGGTTTTGTTTGAGATGGGTAGGCTGAGTGGAAGAACTGGTGGCCACTTGGTCTCCCTTCTGCTGGACAGAACTTAGAATGGCCTAGGAAGTCAGACTCCACCCTCATCAGACTCCTACTCTCTGCTGAGTCAGATACACACAAGGACCTTGGGGGGTGGCCTGTTGTGATGTATTGTTGCTCAAAGACAGGTGTTTTTCTAAGCTGGGTAGGAAAAGTTGTGTAACAGATATTCTCTTGGATCTTGGCTCTGGGGTTCGTGTTCTGATTAATGCAGAAGTTTTTCCTGGAGGACTTGGGGTTAGGCAGGTGGCATTCCATTGACCTGGGAGGAAAGAGGAAATAGAAACCTTCAGCTGTCAATTAGTCATTGTCTGAGTTTTGGCTTTTGGAAGAATAGTTGGTAAGATCCTTACGGAAGGAGTGAGAATAAAATGATGTATTCCATTCTTGATGAAGAATAAACACCAGGCATGTATGAAGTTAACTTACAGGAAAATTAAAACTTATAATTAGGTTTAGCAGAAGACTGTCTTCATCTAAACAGGAAAGATAATTTACCAAGAAGTTGTCTTTTTTATTTTTTATTTTTTGTCGGTCATGGGACTTGAACTCTAGGCCTGGACGCTGTCCTTCAGCTCTTCAGCTCAAGGCTAGCGCTCTATCAGTTGAGTCACAGCACCACTTCCCAGAAGTTGTCATTTGACTTGCTTGTTTTAGGGCTGGGGATTGAACCTAGACATTAGAGCTAAGCATATACTCTACCACTGAGCTATAAACCCAACCCCAGTATACTACAAATTTGGATGGGATCAGAGACTTCTGGTAGAAAAAGAAGGTACTAGGTGCCAGCCTTCACCAAGCATTTTACATTTATTATCCATATAACTTTCATAACTATTCTACATGGTCAATACTCTATTCACATTGCACCCACAAGAAATAGCCTTTGAGAAGTTCATTTTCTCACAGTAAACCAACAGAGTTTAACTGATGAAGGCCTAAGAAGGCCTAAGTGAAGATAGAAATGAAGTCTTACTCACTATAATATACTGCCTACTCGAATGTCAGACTTGAGGGGAGCTTGCAAAATTTAGCTCAGTCCAAATTCTTCATGAAATAGATTAAGAAACAAAGCTGAAACCCATTGGGATTTTCATTTTATTTATCTCAGTTTGGCCAAAGTAAAGGGATTGGATAGAAAACAGAAAAAAGTAAACACAAACTTAGGGTGTGTATTAGATTCAGATAGGTGTTTAATCAGGATACCTACAAATTAGCTACATCTCTCAAATTTACAGATAAAAAACTGAGGCCTTGAAAGGAAATGAGAAAATTATTTCCCTAAAGCCACTGGGCGAACACATTAACTCACTTATTCTTTATTCTTGGTCTGTCTCATAACAAAACCAAAATGCTTCCTACAATATTCTTGTAAATTTCCAAGCCAGAAGAGTGAAGTCAATGGTGAAGGAACACAACCAAGAGCAACAATATATCCCAAAGAGTTAATAGATAATGGTAAAATGAAGTACAGTAGCATGTCAGGCAAGTAAATCTGATGTAGAGGATGGATCTGTGAGTAGGGAGTATTGCTGAGGAGCCTTGGAAGAAGGGCAGGCTTTTGATGAACAAAAGCCTTGAATCATGATGATAACTAATAAGCAAGTACTTGCTGGGTACTTGTGGCTCAAAACTGTAATCCTAGCTACTCAGGAGGCTGAGATCTAAGGGTTGCAGTTTGAAGCCAGTCTAGGCAGAAAAGTCCATGAGACTCTTATCTCCAACTAACCACTAAAAAGTTGCAAGTGGCACTGTGGTTCAAAGTGGTAGAGCACTAGCCTTGAGTGAAAAAGCTCAGGGGCAGTGCCCAGGCCCTGAGTTCAAGTCACATGACTGTTCCCCCCCAAAAAAAGAAAGAAAGAAAGAAAGAAAGGAAAGAAAGAAAGAAAAAAAAAGCTAAGGGACAACATCTACACTCTGAGTTTCAGCCTCAGTATTGGCACAAAGTAAAAAAGGAAGAAAGAAAAGGAAAGGAAAAATAAAGAGAAGAAGATAAGCCAGGCACAGATGGCTCATGACTATAAATCTAAATACTCAGGAGGCTGAGAGCTGAGGATCAGTTCAAAACCAGTCCAGGCAGGAAGCTCCATGAGCCTCATCTCCAATAAACTACTCAAAAAAAGCCAGAAGTACTAGAATGCTCATGTTGGGCAAAAGAAGCTCAGGGAAAGCACTCAAGCCTAGAGTTCAAGCGAGAGACAGAAAGGGGTGGGGAGGGCGGGGGACAAGACAAGACTGAAGTGCCTTTGTCTAGGAAATTCTTGAACCTCTGAAGTCTTGGGCCTGATCACTTGGGAGTACAGTAATGACCAGATGAACAGGAAGGAAAGAAATGGCAGAAGAGAATCACTTTAACAGGAAGATAGGGAATCAGTGAAGATGATTTTGAGGATCTCGCAGGTTGAAAGTAAATCAACTTTCCAGTTGGAGAGAATGATGCTGGAATTTCAGAGAAGGATCAGTGCTGGAGATAGAAACTGGAGAGCCAGAGATTCTGGCAGTAAGAATAAAAAGCATGTCTTAAGAGAAAAAAAAAAGATCACCTACACACATCTACCTCATTGAAGTCATCTGTCTTCCCTCCAAATGGGGTGAAATTCTGCCTCTTAAAAGGTAAGAGAGATCAGCAAGCACACTTCACTCTGTCCCCTCCAGGCTTGCTTGCTAGCACATGTGTTCTTTGATGTAATATTAAGAAACCTAGATGTGATGTCTTTGCCCCTCCTCTATCAGGATTAGGTTTGGAAATCTGAAAGGAATGGCACAGATCTGGAATAAATGTCTGAACTTGATAAAGACAAAGCCAGAAGTCAGCCCATTACAGCATTTTGGTCTTTCTATCACATGCCTTTCTACCCTCCCTTCTTCTTCTCATCCTCCAGTTCCTGCTCTCCCTGGGCCAACTCTCTACCCACTCCCTCTTACCTAAAATTCCCAGATACATTCTTTGGTAATTTCTTCGCTGTCTGCCAATAGGGTGCCACTTCTGTCGCCTCGAATATAGAAGCCATTGGGTGCCAGCACTGTGAGTAAGTTGCTCCCCTGAAGTTCTATACAGAAGTTGAGAGCAAATTTTCCCCAAGGACGGAAGGTGCCAAAGGATGTTATCGACCAGAAGGATCCACCCTGTGCTGGGGAGGGAAGAGCTCAGGTTGCTGGGTTGTTTGGAAGAGAGCCCTCTAACACTACAGTCTGCAAGGCTTTCTGAAAGCATGCCACCCCTCCCTGGAGAACCCTGACTGTGTTGGTAGGTTCATCTATGTAAATGAAAAAAGAACCATGAAGGATTCCACTGGCTTCTGATCTGCCAACTCACTCTGGAGTTTTGGAATGTGAAAACATACAGAAGCTCTGTCTTCCCTTTTATGATGAGCTATGAGCAGGTCCTAAGTGGCAGGCCCTGAAATCTGGCCTTGGAGTGAGTCTGGGGCCAGATTATAAACTCTGGGGTAGGGAAGAGGGAGCCACTCACCCTGGAAGTGGTAGATACCCTGGCGGCAGGGCAGTAGCTGAATGTAGTCAGGCTGATCCATATTGCACTGCATGAGGTCATGATCTGATGAGGAGCCCACGTAGCCATACCGACCTCGCAATACGAGGAAGGAACGGTTGGCAAATCGAATCCCCAGTTCTTCATTTGGGCCTGAAAGAAACACGAAAGGGTAGGTTCAACCCTCAGCTCTAGCAAATCATAATGAAAGAAAATGGTTGACTGTCTCTAGATGTTTGCCTAGATGGAAGCTAATTGCCAAAGGGCATTACCAATATTTTAACATATCGTGGGGCTGGGGATAGTATTCGCTGGCAGAGAGCTTACTTAGCATGTGCAAGGCTCTGGGTTCAAGGACCAGCACTACAGAAAAACAAAAACATTTAATGGCTATCAGGTCTTATGTTAGGTGCTTATTATGTGTTTGTGAGAGTACCTAGCTCAGTACAGTGCCCAAAGAACTGAAATATTCTTCCTTCCTTTGGCATTAATCGATTGAATCTTATAACAACCCTATGAAGCAGCAGAATGGATATTATTTCCATTTTTATAGACAATAAAAGTGAAGCTCAGGAAAAGCTAACGGAGTGCTTCCTGGCCCCGAGTTCAAGCCTTAGTACTAGCACACAAAAAAATTCATTGACTAAGTGGGTATGTAGATTCGTTACTTCTGACTCCAACTTCAGGGCTTCCTTAAAAAGATGGTATTTCAGCTCCCTCTAGAAGAAATTCTGACTAGGATAATCTGCTCAGTTTACCTGGTATGGTGGAACTGGCCATCAGTAAGCCATTGGGTGTAATGCCCAGAAAGCGTCCATTGGAGGACTGCAGGATGATTTTTCCACAATTCCAATGTACTTGGAAGAAGGTTTCAGACTCCAGCGGGTGTCCATCAGCTAGCACAGTCCTATGCTGCCTCTGAAGAGAATATTAGGCCCAGGGACCAAAAGTAAGGACCAAAGTCACACCTTTTCTTCCCCTCCTCTCAATCTTTATCATTAGTCACTCTCCCTGAGTAGTCTTTATGCTTTTAGAAGGAATGCCCAGCTCTCCTATTTCTCTCAGTCTGTGCTGTCTTCCACAGCATAGCATGAAAAAAGGATGCGGACAATGTGCAAAGAATAATGAACTTGGCCCGGACTCCAACATTTTGAAATGGATCACCATTTTAAAAACTAAGCTTTTAAAGAATTAAGAGAACTTCTTTGCAACTTTGGGATAGAGAATATTTTTTGGGGACAAAGACAAAAGGAGTAAATATTTTAGAAACTGATGAACTGGACTTCAAAATTGAAAAACTTGCTGGGTCAAAAGTTCTAATAGGACAAATGACAAGAAATAGGAAAAATGATGTAACTCCTTTGAACAACTAATGAACTGTTTCACAACATGGATACCAGGAAGCATAAATATGTTTGGGGAAGATGAGGGGGCTGGGGGAGCAAATATAGTCCTTAGATTCAATGTATATTATGTAAAAATTGAGTTGACTTGAGGGTAGGGATGGAAAGGAGAAAAATGGGGGAGAATGATGGAAGAAGTTATATGATCCAGATGCATTGTACTCATATCCTGACTTACAGAATTGAAAACTCTTTGTATTAAAAGAAAAGGACAATAAGAAGTAGGCAAAATATTTGAACAAATGCCTCACAGAGAAGATAAATGCCCAATAAACACAAAAGGAGATGCTTAGATGATTGGGTGTAACAATGTACATGTAAATTAGAGCCATAACATATCCACTAGAATAGCTACAATTGAAAAGACAAGTGTTGGTGAGCGTGTAGAGAAATTAGAATTCTCACACATTACTGGCAAAAAAAGTAAAATAGAGCCAGGCATAGTGATACACACCTATAATCTCAGCATTCAGGAGACTGAGGCAAGAGGATCACTAGTTTGAGGCTAGCATGGGCTACATGCTAGCTTGTCTAATATGTATGTATATGTATATATACATATATCAATAAACATAAAAAATTAAAATGAATCACTTTAGGAAATGGCTTGACATTTTCTTGTGAACTTAAATGCACATCTAGAATGCAACATAGTAATTGCATTCCTTGGTACAAGATAAATAAAAATATAGGCTGACACAAAAACTTGGACACAGATGCTCATAGCAACTTTATTCATAGTAGCCCAAGTTGAAAACAACCAAGTGTTTATCAATAGTGAATACATTATGCTTGTATTTCTGAGTAATATTAAATAATACTACTCAGCAATAAAAAGGAATGAATTACTGATATATACAATTAGTTAATCTTAATAACATTGTGCCAATCATAAGAACTATGAATACCATATAAATCCATTTATCTGACATTCTAGAATAACGCAAAGTAATCCATTATGATTAAACACAGACCATGGTTTGGAGATGTACAAGACACTATGTTGAAAAAAAACTTCACAACTTGTGGGGGCAGGGGGAATGGAGGAGTTGGGGAGGTGGGTAGGGAAGGGATGGTAGGGGAAAAACAAAGGCAGAGGTAACAATGCTCGATAGGAAATGTACTCATTACCTTACTCATGTAACTTGTAACCCCTCTGTACAGTATTTTTACAATATAAAACATATACCAAAAAAAAAGAGTGGTGGAAAACTGGCTGTAAGGAGCCACAGGCTATTTTTATACTGGTGGAATTAGTCTCTAATTTGTGGTATGGTTGTGGCGTGGTGGCATACATAGATTTTTTTTAAAAAATAGATTTTATTTATTCATCTACTAAACATAAAGTTTATGCAATGTATTTATATACAATATATATAATATATAATCTACCTATATAATTTTACATGTTCAAAGTATGACTCCATAAAGTTGATTAAAAGGTAAAAAGAGATCCCATTGGGTGAAAATGAACATTTATGACAAGGGCCCCCACAGATCATCTAACTATCTGATAAATGCATTGAAAAGGGAGAAAATGTATATAAGGGCTAATGGTTTCTTGTACTAGAAGCCAAGTCCTCACCTGGGCTAGGTAGTAGCCATTGGCTGAACGAAGCTGCAAGGTAAGGTTGTCACTGTCACATTCAAACTGGAACAAGGACATTGGCGTCAAGCACTCAGAGGCAGTACACACATCCCCATCTGTCAAAGAAGTACATTAGCAGCAGAACTTGAGTCTGGCCTTAGGCTCAGTCCCAGCCCCTCTTCTAGGCTTTATTGCTGGGCTTCCCTGTATTTTCTCTCCTCAGCCTTAGCCCCTTATCATGGACCACAGTAGTCAGGAGAAGACCCAGGTGGCTTTCAGCAAAGGCCCATGTATTCCTGCTTATCTGTCCTCTACCACACATAAGATTCCCTTGGGACTCTCGGATCTTCCTTATGAGCAGGTTCATTACTCTCGATGATCCCAAACACATTTTTCTGTTTTTAGCAACTGGCCCTTACTTATTCTACAGTAGCCTTGGGCCGGGCACTTACCACACATGACTGAGATGAACCTCCGAGTCTTTACCCTGAGGCTGACCCAAGTTGGGAAGTGGTGGAGGATGAACCATTCCTCACCCCTCCTGGGACTGGAACCCAGGCCCAGGAGCTGGTGTGAGCCTTGTGGATATACTGTGCCTCCTTCTCCATCACATAGGGCCACAATCCCGCCAGGGCGCACTTGCAGGTGAAAAGCTGTCTGAGATGAGGGTTGGGAGACCAGTTGGTCTAAGCGGGACAAGAAGTGGTGTGTTGATGTCTCCAGGTGGTAGCATCCATCTTGGAAATGTAATAGGAAACCACATTCCTCCAGACAAGGGATTGATGCATCTACCCAGATGCGGCCCACAGTGTGGTCAGCCCGGGCATAGCTGTGATACATGGGACTGAAGAGGGTCACATGGACATGCAGTGCTGGCCGTGGGGTCCACATGTGGTAAGCGGAGAGGACCCGGGAGTGGCAGAACACATATTCCCCATCAGATTCCAAATAACGACCAGAGATGATACACTGGAAGGTCCACTTGCCATTCCGGTGGAAACGGAGCAGGAAGCATCCATGGTGGCTGGTCCTTGGCCGGCCATAGCACACAGAGCCATCTGGCTCACATAGAAGGTAGAGGCCCTGCAAACTCTTCACTCGTACTACAGCCTGTGCGTCATGCTCATTACTCACTAGGAGTTCCCAGGTCTAAAGGCATTGGGAGGAAAAAGAGGGAAACAAGTGTCACCAATCACTATCACCTCTGGCATCACCTTCACCTTCACCAACACCAGCCATTCTCCTCTTCACATCTGTCCTGAGGGCTCTTTGCTGGTAGCTCTTCCACCCTTCCAACTAGAAGTAGTAAAACCATCTCTGGACTACTCCACCATTGGAGGCATAGGGTCCTCGAAACTCAAAAGAAGTTCTAGATGTCCATCTCTTTCAGTTAACAGTAGCTAAATATTTCTCTCTTCCTTGGTCCCATCCTTCAAGATGTAATTTGTAAAGAAATGCTTTGGTTTAATTTTTGCTTCTTGTCCTCACTGCTGTCCTGCACAGCACTCTCCCAGAGACTGCGTTCCCCCAGAACAGGAGAAAAGCAAGAGCCTGAATAGACTGCCTCGGTCTAGAAACAAAGACAGGAGCAGTTTAGATGCAGTTACCTGATTTAACTATGATCCATTTTGTTATGAGAGAGTACTTTGTTCCTGCCTCACTCCAGGACCTAACCCAGAGATTCTTGCCATCTTTTCTAAAATAGCCACCAAGTCTGCAAGGGTTTCTAGAGGGCTCCACTATCAAACAACACTATCTTCCACTGGTCCAGCTTTCCTTGATGACCATGTTTCAGCCTTCCATTTTAGGCTCTCCACCTTTTTGTGGTCACCCAACCACCATGTGCTGAGATGCAAGTACAGGCCACAACTGAAATAAGGCAAGGTATCAAAGAAGCTTTATCTTAGGATCTATTTTATTTTTAAAAGGGGAGACAGAGCAATCAGAATTGCCAGCAAAAGGCTGGAATTGAAGGGTTTTGGCCTTGCTATGACTGAAGCTAGGGAGGTGACACGATTGAAAGAGCACAACAGCACGGATGTGCACGCACACACACACACACACACACACACACACACACACACACACACATCTTGGCCATAAAACTGGTTCCCATATAGATTTGCCTTGTTACCTGTTTCCTGCCCAAACATTTTGCAGTAGCTGTGATTGTATTCTTGTATGTTTCAAAGGTGAGGTAGGTTCCTGCCCAGCAGATGAGCCCAATCCTTAGGTCCTCGGCTCTGGGATGTCTGTGCATGCACTCTACTTCAGCCATGGGGCCGGCGCCACAGGTGATGACTCTGTCCGGCCCAGCCTTCCCCCCAGTGGTAAAGTTCCACAGGCCATATGGCCGGGAATAAGGCCGGTAGTACCCACCAGAAGACGTCCCCGGAGGGAACTTCTCAGGCATAGGCTGGCTTAGTGCTTAGCACCTCTTGTGACCCGGGAGCATTGTGACTATGAGGGCTACCTCTTACCCCACCATAGTGGGGAAAAGTTACTGGTCCAGCAACATCAATCTAAGGGCCAGAGAAAGTAGGGCCAGAACCTTTGACATTGACCTTCCCACATCATTCCAGGAAATAAGGTAGGCTGCAGTAAGAACCTGACGTGCAACCTGTGACTTTGGGTACATCCCTCCCTTTCTCATATCTTGCTTCTCACTAACAGGACAGAAATCAATCTCTTTCCTCCATGGAAAGTGGTTCATAGTTCAAAGCTTTTTTCAAAATTTCAAAACACATTAAAAATAATCTATCAGCTATCTCAGAAGTTACTTTGCAGTGTCTATGAGGAAACCCTAGCGAGACAGCTAACTACTCAGGTTGACATTACTCAAATTAATCCAGGTCTGGCTCAGAACCAGGCTAAGAATTGCCTAAGTGGAGGGAGCACCAGGCTCTTCACCAACCCTTGGTTGGTTACTGCATGAGCAGTCAGAGCTGCCCACACGGATGCCAGCCTTTCCCCTCCAGAGGCTTGTCGTTCAATGGTCTCTGGGATTTCCTGCCAAATTCAAGGAGAAAATCCAGCCAAGAGCCTGGAGAAACTGGGTATCACAAAAGAGAAAGACAAATAAGTGTTGATGATGTTTTAAGTGGTGCCGGGACCCACAAAGAAATGGGCAGTCAACCCCACTTGGCAGATAGTCCAGGTTCTCTACATGTTTCCAGATTTCTGCATAGACAGCAATTTCCTAGGAAAAGAGTTCAGCAAGGAACTGCAACCCTCAAGCTCTCCCAGTGTTTGGTAAAATAAGGGTAAGATTCTGACTAGTACCAAAATTGTCTGAGTAATTTTAAGGATACACATTGTTGGGCATTAGACCACTTCTGATCAATCATTTTCTTATGCATGCCTTGAGACCTTTTTTTTTTTTCCCTTGGTTGGTTGTGGGGCTTGAACTCTGGGCCTGGGTACTGACCAGTGCTCTTCAGCTCAAGGCTAGCGCTCTACCACTTGAGCCACAACACCGCTTCTGGTTTTCTGGTGGTTAACTGGAGATAAAAGTCGCACACTTTTCTGGTGGTTAACTGGAGATAAAAGTCGCACACTTTCTTGCCCAGGCTGACTTTGAACGGCGACCCTCAGATCTCAACCTCCTGGGTAGCTAGGAATCATCTTTTTCTTTTTTGTCCGGTCGTGGGGCCTGAACTCTGGGCCTGGGCGCTGTCCCTCAGCTCTTCAGCTCAAGGCTAGCACTCTACCACTTGAGCCACAGCACCACTTC